AGGCCTTTTGTGTATCCATATGCTCTCGCGCTACCGTCCACAGGATGGATATGGGGTGCACAATAAACTAGCCACTTCGGTGACAAAATCTAAAAATCAAAATCTTCCTATCCAGGGAAGATATAACCCAGGGGGAGGGTTACCCACCCAGGATAACCCAGGGGGAGGGTTACCCACCCAGGATAACCCAGGGGGAGGGTTACCCACCCAGGATAACCCAGGGGGAGGGTTACCCACCCAGGATAACCCAGGGGGAGGGTTACCCACCCAGGATAACCCAGGAGAAGGGTTAGCCACCCTGGATAACCCATGGGGAGGGTTAGCCATCCAGGATAACCCAGGGAGAGAGCTAGCCCCCCAGGATAAACCCAGGGGGAGGGTTGGGCCATCCAGGATAACCCGGGGGGAGGGTTACCCACCCAGGAAAAACCCAGGAAAGGGGTTAGCCACCCTGGATAACCCATGGGGAGGGTTAGCCATCCAGGATAACCCAGGGAGAGAGCTAGCCACCCAGGATAACCCATGGGGAGGGTTAGCCATCCAGGATAACCCAGGGGGAGGGTTACCCACCCAGGATAACCCAGGGAGAGAGCTAGCCACACCCAGGATAACCCATTCGCTCCTGTCTGACACACTCACGCGTGCTTGCTGGAAGTCCAAGCCCCTCGCACACGAAACCTCCTTTACCCCCTCCCTCCAATCTTACCTGGGCTAACCCCTACCCCGCCTTCCCTCTACTACAGAATTGTATAGTCTCAAGGTCATTCTATTTTGTTCCACCCTCTGTACATGTCCAAACCATATCAATAACCACTCCTCAGCCCTCTGGATAATAGTTTTGGTAATCCCACACCTCCTACTAATCTCCAAACTACGGATTCTCTGCATTATATTCACACCACACATTGCCCTCAGACATGACATCTCCACTGCCTCCACCCTTCACCTTGTTGCAACATTCACAACCCATGCCTCACACCCATACATGAGCGTTGATATAACTAAACTCTCAACATTCCTCTCTTTGCTTTCATGGATAGATTTTTTTGTCTCCACAGACTCCTCAGTGCACCACTCACCTTTTTCCCCTCATCAATTCTATGAGTCACCTCATCCTTCATCAACCCATCTGCTGACACGTCCACTCCCAAATATCTGAACACATTCACCTCCTCCATACACATTTACTTCCCTTTAAAAATATTTTTGTCCTAAGCTAATAGTGAGTGGTTAATATTTTTATTGTAGGAAATCTGAATAAATGAAGAGTGGGTAAAATTGTAAAATACTGCATTAGCAAAACACTAATGTAGCATAAAACTTGGCCTGCTTATATGCATTAATACAAAAGGTGAGATAACTAAATGACTATAGTACAGTTTTAAGTATACATTAATACTTTAAACTGATTCCGTGATCTTAAGTTAATTGGGATTTCTTAAGCTGTTTTAAACTCGCTCTATGTTATCAGGCTGTGGAATGAAGATATGGTGAAGAAACAGGAACAAGATGAGAAATTAATCTTCTCTGGAAGTTTGAGGAAGACTGGAAGAACAGGGATGGAGTTGGATGAGCTGGTTTTGTTTGGTATAGCATAGTGTTGGTTTAGTTACATTAGGGAGATGAGGTCAATTTTAACAATAGCTCTAAACTGATTGGCAGACATGGGACATTTCTCTAGTTGGGGCAATGAATTCCAGATCATACGGCCTTTTATGTGCTTTGTGTTTTTGCATGGGGAGGCAGACACGGAGGATGTCGAAGAGAGTTTTGTGCCTTGTGTTGTGCCAGTGTGTTCTGTTGTAGCTGTCAAGGAGAATTTTGAAGAAGGGTTTATATTGGAGTTTAAACCTTTCAGGGTCACAAGCGCTGCTCTCGAACTTGCTCTCAGTGTCATAAAATAAAAAGAAAATGTTATTTTTTCTTATGAAAGGGTTTGGGGAAATCTTTTTCGAAGGTAATAAAAAAAAAAAGGTACAAAATTTGATGGAAAATTAATAAAATTAGGCATTTGTGAATTTTGCTGTGTTAGCTATATTTATGCATCGGCGATTTTGTCCACTTGAGTCCGATTTTAGGCAAATTCCATTGTTCCAGTTGACCAAATTATTAGCTATTTCACTAGTATGTCTTCCAATCTATTGATCAAGTACAAGAGACTGCTCATTCAATTACATATTTTAACTACCCAGTAATATGATCAGAAATTGGTAATTTGGCCAAGTCACACAAAATTCAAGAAATGGCATTTTAAAATAGGGTCCAGAATAGGTAGTGCAGACATTCCTGGCATTAAAATAACATTTTCTCTGTTCATTAGTCACATCTCTAGGCCCCTCTTATATTACACTTGCTTTCCGTTTTGAATTTTTATTCACACAAAAATAGAAGATTTACTTTTATGCAGACTGCCGCATTATTGTAGTAATTGTATAAATAATGCCAGTGCATTCCTCAATACACATTAGACTAGCCAGTTGATGTACTCTAGAATATCGGCAAAAATCAAACATTTCTGCTACTTTGAGCACAATTTCAGGCTATTCTCAGTCCTCAAAATCAGTCAGAATCATCTCTATTTGTGTAATATATCTTCCATTCTATCAAAGGAGTCCAAGAAACCGAGAATACAACCACGAAAACCATATGAAAATACACTGCAAAGTTTCTGTTTGAAACTAAAAAAATGGTCACAGTTTTTTCTCGTTATGCACTCTGTGCTGTAGGATTTTTGTATATGATGCACACTTACTGCATAGACCCATTGTCTCACAAATTTACTGCTCACAGCTTATTTGAATGAGCTGAGCTCATGTCATTGTACAATGGGACCGACAATGGCTTCAGAGTTGTGATACAGTGGGACCAACCCATACTGGTATACAGGCTTAGCTGGCATCAGTGACATACTACTATATAGAAAGCCCCTTCTTATGCAAAGCATTTCAGGCAAATTAGGTCAGTGTCCCAGGATAACACCAACACCAGTCCACTAACACCCAGGTACCCATTTACTGATGGGTGAACATAGACAACAGGTGTAGAAACATACCCAATGTTTCTACCCTGGCTGTGAATCGAATATTTACCAAAAATCATAATATGGCTAGCTCTAGCTAGATACTAGAAATAACTCACTTTGTCTGGCTTTTTTTGGGTTATCCTAGGTTCTCTACACATATGCTGCTGTAGTCTAACCTATGTAGAGAAAATAGCTTTTTTGTTTCAGTTTTATGGCGCGGTACGAGTGTATATAACAGTTAGCCCTGAGCTATACAGTGAACCCTCGCCTAACGAACGCATCGCATAACGTTAAATCTGCCTAGCAATACAATTTAACGCAAAAATTTTGCCTTGGCTAGCGCTAAAAATCTCGCTCAATGCAATTCATTCGAGATGCGTCCACGTGCGGCCTGAGCCCGCCTCACTTGTTCCATGGGTGTCAGTGTTTACAAGCCAGCCACCGAGGTCGCTTCCAAGCATACAGTCAGAACATTTCATATTATCACAGCCTTTTTAGTGATTGCACCTGCAAAATAAGTCACCATGGGCCCCAAGAAAGCTTCTAGTGTCAACCCTACAGGAAAAAGGGTGAAAATTACTATGGATATGAAGAAAGAGATCATCACTAAGTATGAAAAATGGAGTGAGTATCTCCGAGCTGGCCAGGTTGTACACAACCCCAATCAACCATCGCTACTATTGTGGCCAAGAAAACAGCAATCAAGGAAGCTGTTCTTGCCAAAGGTGCAACTTTGTTTTCGAAACAGAAATCGCAAGCGATAGAAGATGTTGAGAGACTGTTATTGGTGTGGATAAACGAAAAACAGATAGCAGGAGATAGCATCTCTCAAGCGATCATATGTGAAAAGGCTAGGAAGTTGCATGAGGATTTAATTAGAAAAATGCCTGCAACTAGTGGTGATGTGAGTGAATTTAAGGCAAGCAAAGGTTGGTTTGAGAGATTTAAGAATCGTAGTGGCATACATAGTGTGATAAGGCATGGTGAGGCTGCCAGTTTGGACCACAAGGCGCTGAAAAAAAATGTGCATGAATTCAAGGAGTACATAGACAGTGAAGGACTGAAACCTGAACAAGTGTTTAATTGTGACGAAACAGGCCTGTTTTGGAAGAAAATGCCAAGCAGGACCTACATTACTCAGGAGGAAAAGGCACTCCCAGGACATAAGCCTATAAAAAACAGGCTTACTCTGTTGATGTGTGTCAATGCTAGTGGTGATTGCAAAGTGAAGCCTTTATTGGTGTATCACTCTGAAACTCCCAGAGTGTTCAGGAGAAACAATGTCATCAAGGCTAATTTGTGTATGATGTGGAGGGCAAACAGTAAGGCATGGGTCACTAGAGACCTTTTCTGTGACTGGTTACACCATGCATTTGCCCCCACTGTGAAAAATTACCTCCTGGAAAATAAATTAGACCTGAAGTGCCTCCTGGTATTAGACAGTGCTCCTGGTCATCCTTCAGATGTGGCAGAGCGACTTTCTGGGGACATGAGCTTCATTAACCCTTCTTGGGGCAAATGGCCATAAAATTAGAATTTCGAACTGAGCTCCCTATAGTGGATAGAGTAACTCATTATGAGGTCAATGAGCCCATATAAATGGAATTCTGATGTTTAGTTTTCAAGCAATTGCTAATCAGCGAAAACCTAATTTATTATGGTCTGCCCATATAAGGGAGTATAAATTTGGCTGTTGCAAACTTGCAATGGTTAATAAAACAGCAAATAACTATTTTTTTAATTTATTATACAAATAGACAATATAAAAAATATAAGTGGAACTTGTATCCAAACCTTTTTTAGGTATTACAAAAATATAAAAAGAAACCAAATTGCTACATTGACACATTGCAAAGGGATAAAATTTTCAAGTCCCATATTCCTGAATTCCCTGAGAAAGAACAGTCATTGTATATTACTAATTGCTAGAATGGAAGGCTATGAAGCAATTTTTATCCTTCTTTATGTATAGATTTACTTCGCATACGGAACAGAAAAATGACGATGTGGTATAATTGTTCTTGTTGCTTGGCATACAAATTTGTTTGATATGTTATGTTGTCTATCATGTCTTCAGTAAAGAAATCGATAAAATATTCATATGGAGACCTAACTGCAACAGGGTTTTCATGTTGGTATTCAGGCAAAGGGTCATTATTGATGTCACCACGGGTCCAGCTGGGGTTACTGTCAACAGCAAGCTCATCATGAATATCTTCTTCATCAGGCATCTCCTCGATCCTAATACCTGTCTTTCTCTTGACTACTTTTCGCTTTTTGGCTGGCGTTTCTTCCTCCTCATCATCACTTGACACCTGTGCATCCGGTGGCAAGTATTCATCACCACTTTCAAGCAATTTTGGGTCATCTACCTCCAGTTCTGAGTCACTTTCCTCCAAAATGCAGACATATTTTGACTTGGTGTTGGAGGGCTCACCATAAAACAATTTCTCATTGATCTGGAAAGACAATAAAAATGTTCTGTACACATCCAGACTACTACAAAATTTATATAAGCAATAGAAATATTTTTTATAAGTATTTATTTACTGAAATTGAAAACTGGCCCTAAAAGGGCAGTCCAAAATTTTTTGAGGTCTCTTTGGTTGCACTATTTTCATTTGCATGGTACACTCATATTATGCTTCACACGGCCTTGATATATATTAAAATATATAATATTATATATATATTTAAATATATATAATATATATATATAATATATTTTTATAAAATAATAAATATATATATATATCCAAATATGCCCAAACTATTCATTAGCACTAGACTAACAATCAGTACTTACCGACATTGTAGAGATTAAATCAAGGTATTTGGATCTCACTGGATGAAAAAATGTTACCTTGGCGACGCCAGCCAAGTGTTTTCATCTTGGGTTTTCCCAACCCAAAGGGAAGCGAGAACAGGAACAGCACCACTTATGAAACGACTCAGGGAAGGCTTGTGATTGGTCAGAAATAAAGAATGGGAATCTAGATGCACGGCACGAGTAGGATGACACGCGCAAAAAAGCACATGCTCAGACCCAGAAATTCTGTGGTCTGCCCCATAAAGTCAAGTTTTTGCCTCCTAATACCACTCCTCTCCTGCAGCCCATGGACCAGCAGGTCATTGCAAACTTCAAAAAACTCTACACAAAGCTATGTTTGAAAGGTGCTTTGTAGTGACCACAGAAACTCAATTGACTCTAAGAGAGTTTTGGAGAGATCACTTTAGCATCCTCAATTGTGTAAACATTATAGGTAAGGCTTGGGAGGAAGTGACTAAGAGGACCTTGAACTCTGCTTGGAAGAAACTGTGGCCAGAATGTGTAGACAAAAGGGATTTTGAAGGATTTGAGGCTAACCCTGAGAAGTGTATGCCAGTTGTGGAATCAGTTGTGGCATTGGGGAAGTCCTTGGGGTTGGAGGTTAGTGGGGAGGATGTGGAAGAGTTGGTGGAGGAGGACAATGAAGAACTAACCACTGATGAGCTGCAAGATCATCTTCAACAGCAAGAGGCCAGACCTGAGGAAACTGTACACAAATAACCCGCACATAAAAGAGAGAAGCTTACAACGACGTTTCGGTCCGACTTGGACCATTTACAAAGTCACACTGTGTGACTTTGTAAATGGTCCAAGTCGGACCGAAACGTCGTCGTAAGCTTCTCTCTTTTATGTGAGGGTTATTTGTGTATCGTTCCAGTCACAGTATTGTGCCTTTTTTTGTTATTTATCTGAGGAAACTGCTCCGGAGGAGGGGAGAGAGAAATTGAGGAAGTTGCCTACTTCAAAGATTAAGGAAATGTGTGCAAAGTGGGTTGAACTGCAAACCTTTTTTGATGAAAATCACCCTCACACAGCTATTGCAAGCCGTGCTGGTGACTATTACACTGACAATGTTGTGACCCACTTTAGGAAAGTCATGAAGGAACGGGAGGTACAGGCCTCTATGGACAGATATGTTGTGTGACAGAGGTCCAGTGACTCTGAAGCTGGTCCTAGTGGCATTAAAAGAAGAAGGGAAGTAACCCCGGAAAAGGACTTGCTACCTCAAGTCCTAATGGAAGGGGATTCCCCTTCTGAACATTAACAACATCCACAATCTCCCCTCCTCCCATCCCATCAATCATCACCAGATCTTCAATTAAGGTCAGTGTCAGTGTATTAAAATTAATATGTCATGTGGTAAAAATTTTGTTTTTTTCATACTTTGGGGTGTTAGGAACGGATTAATTTGATTTCCATTACAGTGGACCCCCGGTTAACGATTTTAATCCGTGCAAGAGGGATAATTGTTATGCGAAATAATCGTTATGCGAATGAATTTTCCCCATAAGAAATAATGGAAATAAAATTAATCCGTGCAAGACGCCCAAAAGTATGAAAAAAATTTTTTTTTACCACATGAAATGTTAATTTTAATACACACAAACTGAAAAAGGCATGCACAATTACATGACACTTACTTTTATTGAAGATCTGGTGATGATTGATGGGATGGGAGGAGGGGAGAGCATTATCTTCTTACTGTTTAGAAGGGGAATCCCCTTCCATTACGACTTGAGGTAGCAAGTCCTTTTCCGGGGTTACTTCCCTTCTTCTTTTAATGCCACTAGGACCAGCTTGAGAGTCACTGGACCTCTGTCGCACAACAAATCTGTCCATAGAGCTCTGTACCTCCCGTTCCTTTACGATTTGTCTAAAATGGGCCACAACATTGTCATTGAAATAGTCACCAGCACGGCTTGCAACAGCTGTGTCAGGGTGATTTTCATCTATAAAGGTTTGCAGTTCAACCCACTGTGCACACATTTCCTTAATCTTTGAAGTAGGCACAATGGATTCCACAACTGGCATAGGCTTCTCAGGGTTAGCCCCAAACCCTTCAAAATCTTTCTTAATTTCCATACTAATTCTCACCCTTTTTACCACAGGGTTGGCACTAGAAGCTTTCTTGGGGCCCATGGTCACTTATTTTCCAGAAACAGCACCGAAAACACTGTAATAATACGAAATATTCCGAGTGTATGCTTGGATGTTACCGCGGAGGCTGGCTGGTAAACAATGGGACGGCCGGCACATGTGAGGCTGGCTGAGGGCACATTGGACGCGTCTCGGACGAAAATCGGTAAGCGGGTTTTTAATCGGTATGCGCGGCAAAAATTTTGCGATAAAAGTAATCGGTATGCGGAAAAATCGCTATGTGATGCCATCGTTATGCGGGGGTCCACTGTATTTCTTATAGGGAAAATTAATTCAGCTAACGATAATTTCAGCTAATGATGAACATAAGAACATAAGAACATAAGAAAGGAGGAACACTGCAGGAGGCCTGCTGGCCCATACTAGGCAGGTCCTTTACAATTCATCCCACTAACAAAACATTTGCCCAACCCAATTTTCAATGCCACCCAAGAAATAAGCTCTGATGTGAAAGTCCCACTCAAATCCAACCCCTCCCACTCATGTACTTATCCAACCTAGATTTGAAACTACCCAAAGTCCCAGCCTCAATAACCCAACTAGGTAGACTGTTCCACTCATCAACTACCCTATTTCCAAACCAATACTTTCCTATGTCCTTTCTAAATCTAAACTTATCTAATTTAAATCCATTACTGCGCGTTCTCTCTTGGAGAGACATCCTCAAGACCTTATTAATATCCCCTTTATTAATACCTATCTTCCACTTATACACTTCGATCAGGTCTCCCCTCATTCTTCGTCTAACAAGTGAATGTAACTTAAGAGTCTTCAATCTTTCTTCATAAGGAAGATTTCTGATGCTATGTATTAATTTAGTCATCCTACGCTTAATGTTTTCTAACGAATTTATGTCCATTTTGTAATACGGAGACCAGAACTGAGCTGCATAATCAAGGTGAGGCCTTACTAATGATGTATAAAGCTGCAGTATGACCTCTGGACTTCTGTTGCTTACACTTCTTGATATAAATCCCAGTAATCTATTTGCCTTATTACGTACGCTTAGGCATTGCTGTCTTGGTTTAAGGTTGCTGCTCACCATAACCCCCAAGTCCTTTTCGCAATCTGTATGGCTAAGTTCTACATCATTTAATTTATAAGTACTAGGGTTATGGGCACTCCCAAGCTTCAGAACCTTGCATTTATCTACATTGAACTGCATCTGCCACTTTTCTGACCAAGAATAGAGTTTGTTTAAATCCTCCTGAAGTTCCCTAACATCTACGTTTGAATCAATTATCCTACCTATCTTTGTGTCATCGGCGAATTTGCTCATATCACTAGTAATTCCCTCATCAAGATCATTGATATATATTATAAACAACAACGGGCCCAAGACTGATCCCTGTGGAACGCCACTTGTTACAGATCCCCACTCGGATTTAACCCCATTTATGGACACTGCTTCCTGTCAGTGAGCCATGACTCGATCCACGAGAGCACTTTTCCCCCAATGCCATGAGCTGCCACTTTCTTTAACAGTCTATGGTGCGGAACTCTATCAAAAGCCTTACTAAAATCTAAGTAAATAATATCAAATTCTTTATTGTGGTCAACAGCCTCAAAAGCTTTACTGAAGAAAGTTAATAAATTAGTTAGACAAGACCGGCCTCTTGTGAATCCATGCTGAGTATCATTAATCAAGCTATGCTTATCGAGATGGCTTCTTATAATCTCAGCTATAATTGACTCTAGTAATTTGCCTACAATTGAGGTCAGGCTTATTGGGCGGTAATTTGACGGTAACGACTTGTCCCCTGTTTTAAAAATAGGAGTTACATTAGCCATCTTCCACATATCAGACACTACACCTGTTTGAAGAGATAAATTAAAAATATTAGTTAATGGTTCACAGAGTTCCATTTTGCATTCCTTAAGAACTCTTGAAAAAACCTCATCAGGACCCGGCGACTTATTTTGCTTCAGTCTGTCTATCTGCCTCACAACCATCTCACTAGTGACTGTGATGTTACATAATTTATCTTCTTCTAGCCACTGTAAAAATTAATTACTGGAATATTGTTAGTGTCCTCCTGTGTAAAAACTGAGAGAAAATAATTATTTAAAATCAAGCACATTTCATTCTCATTGTCAGTAAGGTGCCCATAGTTATTTTTAAGGGGACCTATCTTATCTCTAACTTTTGTTCTATAGACCTGGAAAAAACTTTTTGGGTTAGTTTTAGAATCCCTAGCAACTTTAATTTCATAGTCCCTTTTAGCTTTTCTTATCCCCTTTTTA